GTCATAAAAAACCCCTCCCACACATTAGTTCTTTTTGCAAGTAAGTGGTATAAATGTGTGGTTTATGCAAGGGCAGGCAGACCCCTCTGTTTAAATTTCCAGAAGTAAATTCCCTCTCAAGAAAGGGCAAACTTGGCAATCATTTTGGAAAGAGCTACAGTGTTGAACAATTGAAGGCAGAAATGATTAATTAGATGTGATAAGAGAATGTAAAGTAACCCCCTTCTATAGTGGAAGCTAGTGCTTTTTTAACACATGACCAGGCATTTGTAAGCAGCAAGATTTTTAGCTTTACTGACAACAGCAAATTAGAGTGATTAAAACAAAAAATGGATAATGGACATTAAAAAGAAATAAACGTCCATTGTGAGCAAGTTCCAAATTAAGTACAGTAAAAGAAAACATCTCATTTTTATACAAACTGGTGTTGCTGTCATGTATAAAAAATAATAAAGACTATACTTTTTGCAGAAAATATATTTGTAGAAAGTGGGAGGAGAGTTGTCATATATAAATGCTGCAGTTTAGATACAAATAAATCAAAATTCTTTTAGAACTCAATATTGAGAGTGTGGGAAAGCTGAAAACGGAGTTGTTTGCAACCTTCATTAATCTCCAGAATTGTTGGGCAATGACAATTAAACCCAGGTCCTGTGGTCTTTGGACCTGCTTGCTGTGATAGTAACTGTTGTAATCCAAAACATCCAAAGAGCACTAGGTTAGGCATATGACTCCCAAGATCTTGCCCAAATCTTGTTTCCTTCTCCAAGAAAACAAGTTAGCAGCAGCCTCAGGAAACCTGGCTAATGGTTACAAAAAGAGGTCTTGCTGGAAGGATCGAAGGGTAGCCTGTCACAAAGGCTCTGATGAGGAGATCCTCGGAAGCTGAGCAGCTTTGAGTGGGAGTTAGACCATCCCAGGTCAAAGTCTCCAAAATGTTATTCTCAGTTAATTCTCTGCATTATATAGCAGCTTTTTTTCAACTTGAACAGCAAAACGCAGTTCCAGTTATTGCGAGTATATACCGTATATAAATTTGGACTGATGAATAATGCCCTCCAACATTGCTAGAGAAGATTAGTTTGAAACAGCAGCTATGCATACTTGGGTAGGCCAGCCCTATCAGACTCCAACAGCCTTCCCCACACAGAAGCCAAGAGCTGTCTTGAAGCATGCCTGAGCAGGGATGGTATAATGGGGTCACCCCTCCCTGGCTGGGGGCTTTTATAATAGGAGAGGAGGATTAAATAGAGAGAAGGAATGCAAGCTGAAGCAGAGGCTGGCAGAGTTCCTGCCGTGCCTTTTTCATTTGTACTGTGCTGTCCAAAGAAATATTAGAGACAAGGAAACTCTGCTAGCTAGAGGATTTATTCCTGTCATAGAAAGCTTCTTGGTTAATCTTGAGAAGATGCAAATAAAAATACTGACCTCTGTCAGCTTTATAAGGTAGACGACTGGACCACGAAACCAGTGCCATAGATGCTACTGTTGTTGGAACCATTGTAACGATGGAACCTTGCAAAGTCTCCCTCGCTCTCACTTTATGCCCTCTATAACTTTGTGGGAAAAAACCCCACTCCCTTGTACAGAGTCATTCCCACTTTCCCTGTCCAAAGCAGGAGACTGTCCAGACTAGAAGAAGTTTCAAGTGATCATTTCCTAATCAAGAGAAAATTTTCTGATCTGCCTCTAATGTATATATACATATATATATGTAT